TTGAACAGAAAGTACAGAGAATTCTTCTGTGTACTCCCCTCCACGTCCCCAACAGTTTTTCTTATTAACATCTTGCATTTGTGTGGTACAATTGGTGAGTCAATAGTGATAATATTATTAAGTAAAGTCCATAATTTACATTAGGTTTTACTCTTTGTGTTGTACATTCTGTGGGTTTTGAGAAATGTATAATGATATATATCTACCATCATAGTATCATAGAGAATAGTTTCACTCCCTAAAAATCCCCGCATATTTATCCCTCCCTGCCCCCAACCCCTGGCAACCACTGATCTTTTTTATTGCCTACATACTTATGCGTTTTCCAGAATGTCATATGGTTGGAATCATACAGTATATATCCTTTTAAGATTGACTTCTTCCACTTGGCCATATGCATTTACGTTTCCTCCATGTCTTTTTGTGGCTTGATAGCTTATTTCTTTTGATCAAAAAATTTATTCCATTGTTTGGACGTACCATGGTTTGTTTATCCATTCACCTATTAAAAAACGTCTTAATTGCTTCCAAGTTTTGGCAAGTATGCCTAAAACTGCTATAAAACTATAACTAAATATAAAACTGCAGTTACTAGAATTTATGGTAAGATTGTGTTTATCTTTGTAAGAAACTGCCAAGCTGTCTTCCAAACTGGCTGTCCATTTTGCATTCCCACTAGTAATGATTCAGAGTTCCTGGGATGCCTGGGTGGCTCAGTCGGTTAAGCTCAGGTCATGATCCCAGGGTCCTGGGATCAAGTCCCGCATCTGGCTTCTTGCTCAGCAGGGAGCCTGCTTCTTCTTCTGCCTGCCATTCCCCCTGCTTTTCATGCGTGCTTTCTTTCTCTCTCTCTGACAAATAAATAAAACAAATAAAATCTTTAAAAAAAAAATTGAAAGTTCCTGTTGCTCAACATCCTTGTCAGCATTTGGTATTGTCAGTGTTTTGGATTTTAGCCATTCTAATAGGTGATCCTGTGTTGTTTTGATTCTCAATATTAACAGGTTTCACCTTTTTTTTTTTTTTTTTTAAGTTTTATTTACGTAAGTAATCTCGGGGCTTGAACTCACTACCCTGAGATCAAGAGTCACACACTCCTCCTACTGAGCCAGCCGGGTGCCCCTGTTTTTTTTTTTTTTGAAGTAGGCTCTATGACCAACCATGAGGCTTGAATTCAAAACCCTGAGATCAAGAGTCACACACTCCTCCTACTGAGCCAGCCGGGTGCCCCTGTTTTTTTTTTTTTTGAAGTAGGCTCTATGACCAACCATGAGGCTTGAATTCAAAACCCTGAGATCAAGAGTCACATGCTCTACCAGCTGAGCCAGTCAGGTGCCCCTCTATCTTCTATTTTTTATTTTTTAATTATTGTTATTTTTAATGTGGGGCTTGAGCTCATGATCCTGGGATCAAGACCTGAGCTGAGATCAAGAGTTGGACACTTAACTGACTGAGCCACGCAGGTGCTTTTTTAAAGATTTTATTTATTTATTTGACAGAGAGAGAGACAGCGAGAGAGGGAACACAAGCAGGGGGGCAGTGGGAGAGGGAGAAGCAGGCCCCCCGTGGAGCAGAGAACCCGATGCGGGGCTCGATCCCAGGACCCTGGGATCACGACCCGAGCTGAAGGCAGACCCTTAACCAAGCCACCCAGGCGCACCTCCTATCTTCTGTTTTTAAAAATCATGAAACTGAAAGCAAACCAAACGAAAAAAACCATTAGTTCCTTTACTTTGTGTCTAATAAAATGATAATTCAACTAGTATTTTGCAGTGTTAGTTTTGAACTTCATAGTTATGAATATTTAAATTTCCTTATATTATTTATTGTTTTTAATTTTTAAAAAGATGTTATTTTTATTTTTTTTAAGACTTTATTTGTGAGAGAGAGCGTGAGCAAGCACAAGCAGGGGGAGCAGCAGGCTGAGGGAGAAGGAGGCTCCCTGCTGAGCAAGGAGACTGATGCGGGACTTGATCCCAGACGCTTAACTGACTGAGCCATGCAGGCGTCCCTAAGATTTTATTTTTAAGTAATCTCTACACCCAGTGTAGGGCTCAAACTTAGAACTCCAAGATCAAGAGTCATATGTCCCACTGGCTGAGCCAGTCAGGTGCCCCCTCCATAGTATTTTAAAGTTACTTTTGACTAAGTAGTATATATAGCAAGTTCTTTTTTAACTCATTAACCTTTTTTTTTCTTCTGTGCTTCCTTTAGATGTATTATAGGTGCTTTTCAGAATTTTTTACTGATTTGCTCTTCCTCTTACATACTGTGATATTGTTTATTGGACATAGATTATTGTCTTTTTAAAAAAAAAATTTTTTTAAAGTAAGCTTTACGCCCAACATGGGACTTGAACTCATGACCCTGAGATCAAGGGTTGCATGTTCTACTGACTGAGCCAGGCAGGCACCCCGGATTATTGTCTTTTGATGGGCTTCAGAAACACTGAGCAGATCTTACTGGCTCTGTTGCTTATTACTGTTCCTGATTTAAAAAAGTTTTTTTAAGTGTGTTTATCCAAGAGGAGACAGTTTACATGATAATGTTATCAGAAATTATCTCTTGAGAGTTTTTGAATATATGTATAAAGGAATATTGTTTTCCTATCTAAAGGTCCATGGGAAATACAGTTTTCCCACAATGAAACCAATTCTATCATCATGGTTTTCTCCCAGAGTCACCCTCACTGGTTCTTCATTAGGAAGTGGGATTCCCTGCTCAGTGCAGTAGTTGTCTGTGAAGTTGACTTCAGTTTGGCCAAAGTAGAAGATGATAGGATAAGAGTAAAAAGCTAGAAACACTGTCCAGGAATTGTTGCGGTTTGGTATTGAACAACAGTGTGGAAAGAATGGGGCATTACTAATGCAGAAGCCTAGGGTCAGGATGATAATATTTTTCAAAAGTTTGTTAAAAACAAGCAAAACTAAAACTATATTTCTGGGGATACATACATACGTGGGAAAACTGAAGATCTAGGGGAATGGCCAAAAAGGAAAACCAAAAAGCAGGACGTTTGGTATTCTGGTGAGAAAGGCAGAGTCATGGGATCGGGGGACATTTTAGTTCTTTAGCTAGTTGTTGGCATCATGGGTGTTTTTTATTTTCATGCTTCGTAACTTAGATATACTTTATATAAATTCTTTTTAAAATATATCAAATACTTGAAAAAAGAAAAACAGGAGATAAAATTGGGACTTGGAAGCCAGATAGATCTGTGTTCAAATCCCAACTGTTGCTTACTACTGTGTGGCCTTAAGTTAGTTATTTAACGTTTTTGAATTTTACTTTATTCATTTTTAAAATGGAAACCACATGGTTGTTTTAAGAATTAGTTAGTAGTTGAGCGCCTGGGTGGCTCAGTTGTTAAGCGTCTGCCTTCGACTCAGGTCATGATCCCAAGGTCCTGGGATGGAGTCCCACATCAAGCTCCCTGCTCAGCGGGGAGTCTGCTTCTCCCTCTGCCTCTGCCTGCCGCTCTGCCTACTTGTGCTCTCTCTATCTCCCTGTCTAATAAATAAAATCTTAAAAAAAAAAAAAGAATTAGTAGTGTATATGAAGTGCCAAGCATGGTGTTCATACAAAGTCAGAGGTAGACAAGTATTAGCTATTAATATTACTACCAGGAACATTGTAATTTCTTTTTTTTTTTTTTAAGATTTTATTTATTTATTTGACAGAGAGAGACACAGCGAGAGAGGGAACACAAGCAGGGGGAGTGGGAGAGGGAGAAGCAGGCTTCCCGCGGAGCGGGGAGCCCGATGGAGGGCTCGATCCCAGGATCCTGGGATCATGACCTGAGCCGAAGGCAGACGCTTAACAACTGAGGCAGGTGCCCCTAGGAACATTGTAATTTCAAATTTTGAAATCTTACCTAGATTTCTTTTCCTAAGCCTGTAGATTCCTAATGTAAATTTAGTTGTTTAGAGAAATCAGCATTTTGGGCTAGATAGGGTATTTAGAATAGAAACAACAAAGGAATTGATTTAAATTTTTGTTTACTTATAATTTAGGTGGGAGACCTACCTGATGCAGATATTAAGCCTCCAGAAAATGTGCTGTTTGTGTGTAAATTGAATCCAGTGACCACTGATGAAGATCTGGAGATAATATTCTCAAGATTTGGGCCAATAAGAAGGTAATCTCTAGAATTAGTGAAAGATTTTAGAAAAACTAGGTATTGGTGGTTTTCTAATGACATTTTTTTGATTAATCTGTGAACTCTGGAATTTTGTAGTGGTGAATTTTACAGATGAGTCTTTTGTACAGTAGGGAAGAAAACTAAGTATATGTGTGTGTATGTGTGCATACAAATATATATATATATAATTGAATGTTTGTCCCACTTCCAGCACACACATTTTTGCTTTAAAACAAGAAGTAAGTGGAACAGGCCCCTCATTTCATGTTTTTAAAATGAGACTTATAGGGCGCCTGGGTGGCTCAGTCGGTTAAGCGTCTGCCTTCAGCTCAGGTCATGATCCCGGGGTCCTGGAATGGAGGGAGCCCCACGTCAGGCTCTCTGCTTAGTGGGAGCCTGCTTCTCCCTCTCCCTACCACTCCCCCTGCTTGTACTCTCTCTCTCTCTGTCAAATAAATAAAATAAAAAATAAAATAAAATGAGACTTATGAAATGTGAGGAAATGGACAAGCTGCATGGTTTCAACTCCCATCTTACTGGTCCTTTTACTTACTTGTCAAGATGGATTCGTTCTATATAACAGCTATACTTACGGGGTAAAATTTGAGCTTGGTTTATATTAAAATTCAAAAACTACAAAGCATAAACTTATTAAATGTGTATATATGTATGAATGTACATACATTATTTTACAGTAACATTAGATATTCTGTAATTCCTCTACATTTGGACCAGAAGTGAATTATGACTTAAAAGAATTTTTTAGCAGTAGTTTACTTTTGGCACAGGGAAGTAAATAGTTTTATCTTACACTTTCTTCAGTGCATTAGAAATTTAGGACTATAGGGGCGCCTGGGTGGCTCAGTCCTTAAGCATCTGCCTTCGGCTCAGGTCATAATCTCAGGGTCCTGGGATCGAGCCCCGCATCGGGCTCCCTGCTTGGCGGGAAGCCTGCTTCTTCCTTTCCCACTCCCACTCCCGCTGCTTGTAGTTCTTCTCTTGCTGTGTCTCTCTCTGTCAAATAAATAAAAAAATTCTTAAAAAAAAAAAGAAATTTAGGACTGTAGGCCAAGATTGGGCATTTAGAGTAGAATTGAGATAATTTTGTTACTACGCTGGTGAACTACTTTTTTTAATTGTTATTGAAGAAATTTGGAGGAGTATAGTTCCACGAGTTTAACTTTAATTTTTTTTTAAGAGGTTTTTTGGTTTTTTTTTAAAGATTTTATTTATTTGTCAGAGAGAGAGCACAAGCAGGGGGAGCGGCAGGCAGAGGGAGAAGCAGGCTCCCCTCTGAGCAAGGAGCTGGATGTGGGACTCGATCCCAGGATCTTGAGATCATGACCTGAGCCGAAGGCAGACGCTTAACGCTTAACCGACTATGCCACCCAGGCGCCCCATAAGAGGTTTTTTTTTTTTAAGATTATTTATTTATTTATGTGAGAGAGAATGAGACAGAGACAGAGACAGAGGGAGAACCAGACTCCCTGCTTAGCAGGGAGCCCGACTCAGGATGTGATCCCAGGACTCCGGGATCATGACCTGAGCCAAAGGCAGATGCTTAACTGACTGAGCACCCAGGTGCCCCTTAACTTTGACTTTTAATAACTGCTTATTTTGTTCTTCATTTTTGAAGAGTAAGGGTGAATGCTTTTTCTTTAAAGTCACTTTTTCCAAACTTTCTTTCAGTTGTGAAGTTATTCGGGATTGGAAGACAGGAGAATCCCTCTGTTATGCTTTTATTGAATTTGAAAAGGTAGGTCATAGTATATATATTTTAAGTTTATATTTATTTTGTTCTTATATAGTGTTAAAATGTGAAAAATTATAGAACTTTCTAGTCTCTGAAATTAGAAAATTAGTTTACCCTTTCTCTAGGCACCCAAGAAAAATAATTTTATTATATTCAAATAGAGGGTAAATTCAACATCTGTTGTTGTTAATATATGTACCTTTAGTTTAGGGTCAGATGCAGTCTGAGTTTATGTATCTTTAAAACTTTAAAGTTTTAGGTGAAATCCTTCACATTGTATATATACGATGATTTTTCAGCATTGTTTATGTAGATCTGTAATTGAGTAATAGAGAACTGGACTGGGTGTAAAGTTCTAGATGTTAACCTGAGCTCTGTAATTGACCACCTATTGTATGATATTTGTCACTTTGTTTAGAACTCTTATTTCTAGGCATTAGCCTCCTTATAAATACAACTTGAATATTGGATTAGATAGTATCTTCTAGATCTATAATAATAATGATGATAGCTTATGTCACTCTAACTTTCTTTTTTTTAATTTTTATTTATTTATTTATTTATTTATTTATTTGACAGAGAGAGAGATAGCGAGAGAGGGAACACAAGCAGGGGGAGTGGGAGAGGGAGAAGCAGGCTTCCTGCAGAGCAGGGAGCCCGATGCGGGGCTCGATCCCAGGATCCTGGGATCATGCATGACCTGAGCCGAAGGCAGACGCTTAACGACTGAGCCACCCAGGCGCCCCTCAAATAACTTTCTTTAAGCTAGGCATTATACTACTTGACCTGCATTTTACCCTCACAACTCTGTGAAATATATTTTCCAAATAACTAAACTGAGACATATAGTGGTCGTGTGACTTGATTAAAATCATGCCCCTAGTGAATGTCATAGCTGGGATTTGAATTTAGAAAAATCTGACACTGTTCCTTTTGCTTTTAGCCACTGTGTGAGGCTGTCATTTCTATGCAGCTTTGGACTGATGTGTGTCCAATAGTAGCTCCTTCCAAGTGATAGTTATTCCAGAGCATTTATCGAATACCTTCTATATTTTAGGCACTGCGATAGCAGAAAAAACCAGAATTCCAGAGGCCCTCCCTATCACTGCTACTTCTAACACTATAGACCTCTTTTGTCTAATTTTTAAACTTGCTATAAATGTAAACACAGTATGTGTTTTTTTGTGTCCAGCATCTTTTGCTTAATTTGTAAGATTTATAGGTTACTACATATGTAGTAGCATGTTAACTTTTTTCATTAATTTCCATTGACATGGTATTTCATGGTGTGTATATGGAGTTTTCTTGCTATAGAGTATTTTATTATGTGTATATAAAACAATTTAGATTTCCATTCAGCTGTTACGGACACTTGGGTCCTTTGTAGTTTTGAGCTATTAAGAAAGGTTCTACTGTAAGCCGTTTCTTCCGTGTGTTTTGGTGTACATATGTATGCATTTCTGTTGGGTATGTACCTGTGAGTGCATTGCTAGGTCATAGGGTACTTGTGGCTATAGTAGATTTATTTTAATTAGTTTTCCAGGGTAGTTTTGTTTTTTTCCCCCAGAAGTGGTTATACTAATTTTCGCTTCCACTAGCAATGTGTGAGAGTCCCTGTCAGTTCTTGGTGTGGTCAGTCTTGAAAATTTTTATCCATTCTGGTGAGTGTGTAGGGGTATCTTATGATGGTTTTATTTTGCATTTCCTTGGTTGCGCCCCCTTTCATACGTTTATTGCATTTGGATGTCTTTTTTTTTTTAAATGAAGTAACTGTTCAAGACTTGGCCACTTTTTGATTGGGTGTTTGGCTGCCTTTTTCTTGATTTGTAAGAATTCTTTACATTTTCTGGATACAAGTTTATTTTTTGGTTGTATGTGTTGCAAGTATCTTTTCTATAGATTTGCCTTTTCCCCATTTTTAATGGTGTCTTTTGATAAGCAGAAATTTCTGATTTTTAGTTCAGTTTGTCAATATTTTTCTTATGGCTGGTTTTAAAAAACTTTGTTTACCCCCACAGACATGAAAATATTCTCCAATGCTACCTTTAGAAGGTTTGCTGTGAAAAATCTTTCCCACTTAGATCGGTAATTTGATTTTTGTGTAGTATGTGTATCGTGTTAAATTTCATTTTTCTTACATTGGATAGCAAGGGCACTCAGTATAGTTTATTGAAAAGGTTGTCCTATCCACACAGCTTGGCAGTGCCATCTTTGTCATAAGTCAGGTGCCTACATAAGTGTAAAATATCTGAGAACTTTCTCTTTAGGGAAAGGGCACAGTGATGCAGTTATGCCTGCCCAAGTATAATCATTACAGATTCATCAAACATACATTGATTGTTGTGGCGTCTGGCTGGCTCAGTCAGTAGAGCATGCAACTCTTGGGTCATGAGTTTGAGCCCCATGTTGGATGTAGAGCTTACTTTAAAAAAAAAAAAATACACTGATTGCCTATCATGTGCCAGATGATGTTCTAAATGATGTATCTACAAAGATGAATAAAGCTTTATATCTTTATGGAGTTTATAATCCATTTAATTCTTGACATACATGGTAAATAAATAAATTATAACGTAGTTTTTGTTTTTTTATCTTCTTCTCTGAATTGTCTCTAGTAAGTTGTGAGCACACCAAAGAATATGTTTCCAGGAATATAGGAGATAATTGATCAATGCTGGGTTGAAATGCATTACTTCTAGTCTTCAGATGTCAGAAATGGAGATGGGGGTTTGTAAAGTTGCTGACAGGAAGAATCCTTATGTAACACCGACCTTGGTATCTCAGGCCCACAGTCCATTATCCACACCCCTGGGCGTAGCTATGTTCCTGATTTCAGGCTTTTTCAGAACTTAGAAAGGTGTGGACTGTGTAATACTCATCTGGGTCAGCACTCCATAATCATTCACAAAATATTTCTGCACTGAAACAAATGTGTATTCATACTAAGTGGAATAAATCAAGGCCACGGTCTTCTGTTAGGTCAAGTTTTGTTGTCAAATGGATTTTATTTTATTTTTTTAAAGATTTTATTTATTTGACAGAGAGAGAGACAGCCAGAGAGGGAACACAGCAGGGGGAGTGGGAGAGGGAGAAGCAGGCCTCCCGTCGAGCAGGGAGTCTGATGCGGGGCTCCATCCCAGGACCCTGGAATCATGACCTACGCCAAAGGCAGACGCTTAACGGCTGAGCCTCCCAGGCTCCCCTGTCAAATGGATTTTAACACCAGATTTATAAAAACAGCTTTCAACTTTCAGAATATTTTTGGGTTTCAAATGAAAGGGTTTGTGGATGGACGTGTACAGCACGATTTGTAAGTGTATGTATGTCCACTACAGTCACACTGCCTCGGCTCAAATCCTGGCTCTCACCTTTGCCAGCTGACCTTTGGCAGCTTATGTACCTTTCTAAACGTATGTTTTCTCTTCGAGAAAATGGAGATAATAATAGGTAGTACTTCATATGCTTGTTATCAGAGTTAATTGAGCTCATAGATGCAGAGCATGCAACAGCATGTGGTGTGTGATAGGCACTCAAATATTAGTGTTAGTAACAACAGACTTGCTGTATTTTCAGTATTTGTTCTAGCTGTAGAAATTTTTTCCATAAAGATTTATGCTTGAGTTTTTGTAATTACTATCAGGAAGAAGATTGTGAGAAAGCGTTCTTCAAAATGGACAATGTCCTTATAGACGACAGAAGAATACATGTGGATTTTAGCCAGTCTGTTGCAAAGGTTAAGTGGAAAGGAAAAGGTATGTTGGTTCAGCTTCCTTTGTTTCTGTTCACTGTGCATGCGTGTGTGTGCATTGTGTGTGTGCGTTTGCACGTGTGTGCCTCTACTTCCTTTGTCTTAGTGCTGTTCATTAGGAGAAATGTTCATTGATGGAACTCTGCCATTTATGGTTTCATGTAGGTGCTAGCAAGAACCTAACATACAGGGGAGTGTGTGTGAGTGTGTCTATGTGTATTTAAGCTGATAGTGAATATATTTACTATTTTTGTGTTATAAATTACTTATAATTACCCATTGCAAACATGGCATATTTGCAAAGTAATGATTTTGATGGTTGTGATGGCTTGGTTCTTCTAGATGCAAAACTCTTTTAAGTTTTTTTGAAGTTTGTTTGTTTTAGTGATCATATGGTAGAAAATTGAAAAGGTGGTGTAAAAAACTCTCCCTTCCCTCATCTATCCATTTCCCTCCCCAGAGGTAACCACTCTTACCTGTTTCTTGTATTATTTTCCACATACATTCTTTGAACATACATACATATGTATTTATTTTATGTTAGAATTTCCTCTTATTTCATGTTTTTATTCCCATGAAGGTTTTATGTATATTTGTAGCTTTCTCTTTTAAAAAAGGAAGTATATATATTTTATACATACAGTTTTCATCTTGGGAGCAGAGGGGCTGCATAGGATGCTTTTTCCTGGCCCTGCCACTGAGGGCCAGTCAAGATGTAACAGTAGAGGGGCGCCTGGGTGGCTCAGTTGGTTAAGCGACTGCCTTCGGCTCAGGTCATGATCCTGGAGTCCGGGGATCGAGTCCCGCATCGGGCTCCCTGCTCAGCAGGGAGTCTGCTTCTCCGTCTGACCCTGCCCCTCTCATGCTCTCTCTCTCTCTATCTCATTCTCTCTCTCAAATAAATAAAATCTTTAAAAAAAAAAAAAAAAGATACAGCAGTAGGTCCTATTTTTCTGAAGGGATTGTTGATTTCATTTCTGGCACTTGGGAGGGAATATAGGTGACTTAAGCAAGAATTTCAAAGCAGAGACAGTTTGTCTTTGGTGTTGTTGCCAGCCCTCCCCTTTCACACCCTTTAGTGAACTTCTGTGTACATTCCTGCTGTCCTGCTATCTGCTTGGTGCTCTGGAGATCTTGGTCAGTGTCTCTTCTGACAGATCAGAGATCTTTAAAGCCTCACTTCTTCCAAACTTCTAAGCCTCTCAGATCTCAGACTCCAGTCTCAAGCCCTCAATTTCCTTTGGACCTAAATTTCTCATGGACTTAATGGCCCTACTTAAATACTGCATTATTTCCCAGTGAAATGTATTCACTGTATCATTTAGGATTTGAAAGTTTGATGTTGTAATACTCACATATATCGTTAGGTGGCAGCATATAGCTACTTAGCAAAACGGGTTTCATTTGAAATAGTAATGGAGAATGAATTACTCTTCTTTTGTTTTCTTCTCAGCCTTTTTCTGTCCGCCAATATATATGCCACTTATAAAATAGCTGATGTATTATACCTCTTAAAATTAATTTTTGTTCTTTAATAAATTAGGTGAGTTTTTTTACTAAGTCTTTTTTTTTTTTTTTTTTTAATAAATAGGTGGGAAATACACCAAGAGTGATTTCAAGGAGTATGAAAAGGAACAGGATAAACCGTCTAATTTAGTTTTGAAAGATAAAGTAAAGCCCAAGCAGGAGTATCCTTTACAAGAACCAATTAGTCAATATGTATAGACCATCCACTCTGTGTAGAATACTGTGTGATATGTTATAAAAAGTCACAGTCTGTAGAAGACAAGGTTCCTGAATCCAGTGGTTTGTGAAGACATCGTTTAGTTTATTGTAATCCTGTTTCAACATCTTACATAAACTTTTCTTTTTTGGTATATTCTCTAATGTATGGATAAGGTTAGGGTTGAAAAAAATCTCTAGCCTAATTCTTTTCCCTCCTTACTCTTAGGTTAAGGTTAACACTTACTCTGAAATCTTCAGGTAAGATTCGTATTTTGTATACAATTGTAATGTTTTAAATTCCTCATACTCAGAAATTTTCTTCATGTAGCTACGCTAAATTCTTGGTGTTAACCTTCCTCATAATATTTAACTTCTTTGGATGGTAAATACGTAGATTAACAAAATCCTGTTGTTCTCTTACATGATTAGGTTGCTTCTTTCTGCTTAGTACATTGTCAGTCTAGCAACAAATATTTACTGGGCTCCTATTTGTATGCAAGAGTTAGCTTTTATAGGATTAAAAAATCCATTGACTTGACCATTTTAATTTAGGTTCTTCCAAGTTTTAGTTGAGACAAGTAAAAATCAGTGAAACATACTATTTACATTATGTCATTTTAATTTGTTCATTGATATTCTCATTATAAATCTATCACTCTTCACATTGCGAAAGTTATTTCTTTTGTGATTCTTTCTGGTAAATGGTTTCTTTGTTTCCTAATTCCTGTTGGTGTTTTAGGGATTCTTTTTCCCACACTGTCTTAGACATTTCTTTTCCAAGTATTCATCAAGGAAAGATGAATATCAGGTTGACTTGTTACATACTCATTTTAAAAAATGTGTTGACTGTCTATAGTGCATAAAGCATTGTAAGGTGTAAGAGGTGTAAGAGGAGGATAAAGTCTGATATGTACTGACATGAGGAGGAGGCTTTCACACGCAAGCACACCAAACAGTAAGCTAAGATATAGTCTAAAAAGTTGGAACATAAGGGGGGATATGATTGAAATATTAAAATCATAAAAGGTGTGGATGGAATACACTTGAGATTTATTTGACAAATCTTTGAAATTAAATTTAGGCTAACCACTAGTAGCTGCAGCTGGCAGAAGGGAAGTGTGTAGGGCAGATAAAAGGAAGTACAGACATAGAGTGTAAGGTACAAGGAGGTGTCTTTCATCTTTTCCCTCATAGAGGTAAGTAGTTCAGGCTGAAAAGAAAGAATATGTAGTATTAAAATGTTCTAAATTCAAGATGATAGATTACTAAAAGTTAAGAAAAGAAACCAGGCATGTTTGAGAATAAATCTGTAGCCCAGTTACTATCCAATAGAAGTTTCTACAGTGATGGAAACTATCTCCACCATCCAGTGTGGCTACTAACCACATGTGGTTTTTGAACATGTGAAATGGACTGAGGAACTGAATTTTAAAGTTTGCTTAATTTTAATTAATTTAAACAACCACATGTGGCTAGTATTGAACAGTGTCTGCTTTCAGTCTTTTGAAATTAATGGAGAAGACAGACATGACCTGATGCAAACCATTGTTAATTATTCTCAAACAGAATATTAAACAAGGAAAAAGGAAATTCTTGAGTCTGACCCAGTAAGATAGTCTTTCTTGGTAACTGATTTCATTTTAGCAAGGCATTTATAATCTCAGGTACAATAATAGAGTGACAGAACATGTGTTTGTAATATGTAAGAGATATATATATATATTTTCCCCCCACCTTGTATATTATGTATTATGTGACTTTTTTAATATGGCAGGGAAAGGAGATTCAGAGGACAATCTAATAATCAGATTAAGTTTAGTGGGGTTTTTTAAATATATAATTAGATAAGCTTTAAGTTAAAAAGGCATGGTGGAGATACATTTTATGGATCTTGAGAGAAAGTGAAATTATTGTAAATTAGACTACTAATAAGATTAAAAATAGAACAAAAGGAAAGGCAAGTTTAATTTGGCTGGGGTAGACCTTGGGGAATAAATTGGGGAAAGGAAGTCAGAGAGATCACAAATCTATGGTTAATTCAAAGGACTTTGGAAAGATTTGACACATGCAAGTGTTGCCTGTAGTAGTGAGTAGAAGATAGTGGGTAAGTGAGGGAGAAGAGATGTGACAAGTGTCTTGGCGATATGGTAAATAATCAACAAGTACTTATTTGGCGTCTGTTACACACCCAGCTTAGCAGTGAAACATAGCCCCTGCCCTCATAGACCTTACGTTTTATTGTTGGAGGGGTGATGAACAGACATTAAATAATTACCAGGAATCAAATATAAATATGTCTAGAGTGTTGGAAAGAAGTACATTTGTGGGATATGGGGCTTATAGAGGTGAGGAGTCAGGGAGGACCCTCAGGTAACACTAAGAGAAGTGACATTAAAGCTGCACCTTGAATATGGGGGGAGAGCTATGATGGGAGGCTGTTTTCTCTGACTTGATCCATCATTTAAGAAATCCAGTTTATGTTATGCCCAGCACAATCCAAGTACAGCCATTTACACGCACACATAATTGAAACAGAAATGCCATAGTATTTTTATTAGGTGCCATATATTCTGTTTTCTATTCTACGTTATTACAAAATGCTGGCTGTGACACACTAAATGGATTTTGGACGGAGGGAGCTGCATGTGTAAAGCAACACAGTGAGTGAAATCCTGGGCAAGGACTGTTGAATTTGTCCCTGCAAAAGGAGAGGCTCCAGAAGCTACTCTGGAAACAGTGTGACATAGTATAAAGGAGAAAAGAAGTTAGAGATAATGGAGTAGGAATAGGATATGGTACAGGCTGACTGGCCATCTTTAGCCATCTTGTGAAAAGCCAAGAGGATGCGGCATTTTCCTGTTCAATGTTATGTAGAAGTGAGACGTCCCCGAGGAAGGCATAGAGCTGCGGTGTTGTGCAAACAGACCCGACGCTCTGGTCCTGAGGGAAGTGTGTCCCCCATTCCTCTAGTTGCACATACCTCTAAAACAGCTCTGTGTGGTGGGCTTCCTCCTAAGCTTTTTTTTTGAAAACCACTATTCTGGCCCTTGTCAGCCTTCCTCAAACACTATTTTAGAATTTGAGATTATTTTCAACAGAGTGTAATGGTTTTGTATTTTCTCTTATTCTAAGACATAATAGTATATTAGAGAAAATACATCTCTCTGAATTAAAACACATTATCATAATTTTTATACCACATTTATGTGAAATTAAGACAAGATTCACTCATGTCTATAAATATTGAGTCACTGTGTTGTACACCTGAAACTAATACAATATTGTATGTCAACTACACTTCAACTAAAAAAAAAAGATCCACTCACAATTTACCATCTAGACAAATGATACCATTTCTCGTTGTTTCTTTCAAATCTTGATCTTTTATGATTTGTAAAGTTATGATTACCATATGGTATAAACAATTTTTATTTCAAGCTTTTTCCACTTTTAATTTTTCATAAACACTTTTCTGTTTTTTTTCATAGCATTCACTTATCATTGCTAATAACTTTCTTTGTATATCCTGTTGAAGTTCTACAGTATATTTAAGAATGTCCTTATTACTAGGCTTTTGTTACTCTCGGTTTCTGTTACAAAAAATAATTGTTATATATGCCTTTGTTCGTTTAACTTATTTTAATCTTTTATAAATTCTTCAATTTAAATATGGCGGCTCTTGCGAGGCATTGCTAAATTTCCTCCTATAGGATTGGACTAATTAGTACTTCAAAAGAGGTGTCACATGAATGTATCTTCTATCTCCTGTAGCTCCTCTGGCATTGGAGTTTGTCATATCTTAATTTTTTCCAGTGAAACTTACCTCATTTTGTAAGTTTAAGTTTTTTTCATTACTGACAAATAGGTTTCCTTATTTTTTATGGCTACTTAAATTTTCATTTGTGGATTTAGCTTTTTTTGCCCTCCATGTTTTTTGCCCACTCACTTGCCAGTTGTTAATTGTTTATTTAAGGTCAGGGTTCTTTCCATTTTTCCTGAAAGAAAATACGAAGTAGTTATGTTTCAGAAAAAGACTCTATGCTATGAGGTGCTTTTTGCTTTAAAAAAATACCTTTAGCCTCATGGCCTCCTTTGGTTACCAGATTCTTATGTTTTGATGTATTATCAGTGTCAGTTCTCACATCTGTCCTTAACTAGCTGCTGCTGCAGTGCAAAATATGATCTTGTACTAGATGAGCAAGCCGAAGATTCAAAATCAAGTCACTCACACACAAGTAAAAAACACAAGAAGAAAACTCGTCACTGCTCTGAAGAAAAAGAAGATGAGGACTACATGCCGATCAGAAATACTAATCAGGTACTTGTAATGTCCAGCCTTAGCTGTAGAGAGAAATATTTTATCCCTCTGTAAATTACTTCTGAGTGACATAATATAGGGGGTAAGGGTATAGTTATGAACAGGGTGGCCATATTCCTAACTCTAGAACATAGAATGGTTTCACTGGGGTGATGGACTGTAGTTTTTGAGAATGTATCTCACAAATGATAAAAGATTGTTTTCAGAGTAACTTAGTATATCATCCAGTTCCATATTGTGAAACGAGTGATTTCTGAACCTGTGGACACTTACTTAACTCCCATCAGGTGCAAGTGTGGTTGTGCTGAAAAAGTGCTCATTTGTCATTTTAACTTACCACCAAGTGCAATGGATAGTACTTATAGCTCTTGAAGTTTTTTTTTTTTAATTTATTTTTTATTATTTATATATTTTTAAAAGATTTTTATTTATTTATTTGAAAGAGAGAGCATGAGCAGGGGGAGGGGGAGAAGCAGACTCCCCTGCTGAGCAGGGAGCCCGATGCAGGGCTTGATCCCAGGACACTGGGATCATGACCTGAGCCAAAGGCAGTCACTTAACCGACTGAGCCACTCAGGCTCCCGGCTCTTGAAGTTTTAAGACCTGTGAAACATTTATGCCTTCCATATTGTGTATCTGAAATAAAAAGAGCACTCATAATTAACTTGATCATCCCAAATGTGTTCTTGAACAATACATGTTCTTTTTTTTTTTAAGATTTATTTATTTATTTGTGTGTGTATGAGAGAGAGAAAGAGGGAGAACCATCACTAGCAGGGGAGGGGCAGAGAGATAAGCAGACTGCCTGCTGAGCTCAGAGCCTGACAGGGGGCTTAATCGCAGGACCCTGAGATCATAACCTGAGCGGAAGTCGAAGTCAGACCCTCAGCTGACTGAGCCACCCAGGTGCCCCAACAATACATTTTCTAAGACAGTGATACTAATAATTCCTCAAAGAAAATTGATTCTAGTGAGAAGTCATTTCTAGCCTGCGTTTTGGCTCTCAGTTAAATGAAAAGCAAATTACAGGACAGCCCCTTGCTTTTGTGTTACCATGGGAGGACTTTGGAGCAGGGCCTGGTGGGTAAAGAGATTTTAGTAGGCAGAGGTGAGAGGGTGAAAATTCAAGATGGTGAGAATGGCACGTCAAGCAAAGACGCAGAGAAGGAGAGATGTAGTATGGTTGGCAAAGTGCAGGATTGGCTTCAGAGAAGCTAGGTGGAAGTTTCTGCATCACTAGCCATTGATGTGGCCTCAACAAGTTACTGCGCTTTCTGAGCCACAGCTGCCTCCTCTGTGAAATTGAGATTATACTTATCTCACAGGTATGTTGTCAAGATTAAGTGAAGAGAAGTGTGTGTGCACACATTTTCTACACTGGCTGTTATTTTACTATTACAGTCAAATTACTGTGTTTTGTCATGATTATTCTTTTTTTAAATTACTGTGTTTTAAATCAGAATAGTTTCTGTGGTAAGGCCATTCACTGGATTCATATTTTAATTAATTTGTTTCTTTTCAGTGTTTAGAGATTGCTTTAAATAATTTTTTGTGTGTTTTGTAGTTTTAAAAATTTCTTGTATGCTTCCAAAGTAAAATCTGCGAAGCGGTACGTGTGGAGAACCTAGATTCTTCCCCCTACCCTTCACTTCTGCCCCCACGGCAGCCCCTCAGTGTGTTTCATGGGTTGTTCTTCATTTTTAAAAAATTTCAGCAGATATGTATTTTATATATAATATTCTTAGTTTCCTCTGTTCTAGATAGCATGTATTCCTACTCCTCGCTGTCATCTTGAGGACCTCTCTTTTTCCATAGCCTTTTTGCTGTTTAAAGAGTGCCCTCGTTCATGCCCTGCCCTCAGTGTTTAAGTCACACCTTTCCTCTGTTCCTCAGTTCTCCCAACTAAGACGCACATGAATCAGTGACAGCTAGCGGCGTCTGTGTGCGTACAGTGTGAGGTGGATACGATTTTCCCCATTTCACAACCGAGAAAGTGAAAACTGAAGAGTTTAAGTGACTTGCCCTGGTTTTACAGCGCTGATCAGTAGCAGAGCCACAGTGTGAATCTGGACTTGTTCTCCTAGCCACTCTGCTGCTGCTCTGACCTGGAGTATATTGCTGGCGGTTTTCTATTGCTAGTCGGATAAAATTGGTCTCCTCGTGTGATATTCCAGTGTCATCTGCCTGGCACAGCTCCCTCTTAATTTCTGTACTGTATTAGTTTGGCCTGAGACCACCCCAGTCTTTTGAAATGGTGGCTGTGTCACATTTCTATGAATATTTAGCATGTTTTCCACTGGAACTTGTTGATCTCCGCCCCCTGCGTCACCCCGGACCACCGTCCATATTTTTTTAGCCGCGGCTTCCCGTCCTGCACTTGCACATGGACTCCTCAGTGAGTTTAGGCCTCACGTGCAGTATGTTGGTCTATTTGCAATAATCAGAGGTCCAAGAAATCCAAAATCTGGCTGCATTTTAAGTCTCTGATTTTGTGCATCCCTTTTGTGCATCTTTTTTTATCCTGCTGTTTGATTACTTTAAAACTTTACAATAGAAAATATTTTTCTTTTTTGGCATGGAGTAAAAGCCATCAAGTAGTTTTTTGGGGGAATGTGGTTAGAACTTTTTAAAATAATTTTAAATCAGTTGGCAATTACAAAATTAAGTTCCAACTAACAGTCTCCTAACTTATTTCTCCCCTCAAAGCAAATGTTTTTTGATTTTGTACTTTGATTTAATAATACAAGTATACTAATTTTCTTTCCAATAAAATAGCGTCTGTATTTAACAGTTTAGTGGGCCCAATTTTTTGTTTTATTATTCTGATTTTTATCCTTTTGATTTCAGTCTCAAAAATATAATCATTAAAGGGAATTTTCAGTATTAGGTTATTCTCAGGTATAGCTCAGATTTTCCTATTTGTTGGTATTTTGCTTGGTGGGCCTAGTTTCCTAAGAATATTTTAACTTATTTCTTCAAGTTCTTTGTTTTTTATTGAGTGACAGCCTTACTGTTCAATTTGAAAACTTCTGTGTTTAATTTTTCCACCTCATGTCTTTATTCCAGAGATGGTTACTATGTTGTTGAGGTTTGGGTTTTACTGGGGTTCCAGGAAGTGAGTTTTCAGCTGTGGGTTGCCTGGCTGAGAAGTACGCATCCTGGTTGTCAATCCTCCTCTGTGGCTTTCGTAGGTGTTTATTATTCTTATAATTGGGGACTCTATTTTTGCTGTCATTTTGATCAGGTAATGTTATTTTAGTGATTTAGATTTAACTAAATCTTTGATTTACTCCTAGAGACCTGAGCAAGGATAGCTTTTAGTTTAGATTTTTTTGGACTGCTTTACATGAAATCATTGGATAGGTTAAGGTGATTGCTTTAAATTGTCCACTTAAAAAATAGTAAATTGGCCATTTTGTGGTGTTTTTTCTTTCCTTTTTAGCCACATACTAGTTTAGTCATTTTGTCTTATGGCTTAAGTGTATAAAATGATAGAATTTTTTTAAAGTCTGTACTGGAAGGGACTTACAGCCCATCTAATTCATTCCCTTCCCCTTAGATGTAAAGATCCTGACCCCACAGGCCTGTGGCCCTTTGTAGTTTAATGAGAGAGCTAGAACTTTAACATTATATTGATTCAGTCAGGTATGGGTTTTTTTCATTATTCTGTACCACCCCCTTTTCAATTTTATATGTCAAGTTACTGATCAATTAAAAAATTATCTCCACCCTGTACAGATCTCTTGAGTCTCACTTTCCTTATTTGCTAGAATGAGGGTAATATTGTACTCCAAAAGCACTTAGCACTGTGCTAGCACATACTTAAAGGATCAGTTCTAATATGGCTTCATCCAGCCATCTGACCTTTTCCTCTTCATGAACATGGTGCTGATTCTTCCTTGCTTTTCAGTTTTCACTTCTACTCCGTGCATTAGCCTTCTTGCAGCCAATCCACAGCCAAACCCACTCATTCTTTGAGGTTAATCTCAAATCCTAACTTCTCTATGAAACCTTCCCTGGTAAATCTAACCTCAAGATTATTTCTTGTTTGACACATCTCCTAAATGGCAAAGACCATTTGAACCTAGAGCTGCCCAACTTTAAAGCTTGTATAGCTTTGAAAAATACTCCCAAGTAGGAGAGGTTTTAAGGTTTCAGTGCATTTCAGATTTTCAGCTTCATCAAGTTTTTCAAAGAATTAAATACTGTATAATCTTTTATCTCCTTCTCTCTTATTTTAAACACTCAGAGCACTTAAGTGCCTCTTTGTATAATTACTAAAGATTTTATACTTATACATCATTTAGCAGTCTCTCCATTTTAAAAGTTTGTTGTCTCAACCAATACAGGAGTTAAATATACAGACAGAATAGTACACAAATATTTACATTTTGTATATGTTACAGGAAGCACAAAAAATTCTTTTATCTAGGGCTGTCATATATTGCTAGAAAGTAGTAGTTAAAGAGTTAAACCAAGTACTCACTTTCTACCTCTGGGACTCTTACAGAGTGAGAATAACTATTTAGGGATTGTGCAGGAAATCATGAAACAGTTTATAAAGTTGTATTCCACAAACACTGATTATAACAATCATGTTAGATCTATTTTCACATGCTGCAATCTCCATGCCAGGTGTAATATACAGTATCTAGACAATATATCGAATAATTATGAATCCTTTGCTTAAAACCCAGTCCTTAACCATGGGTAGTCATCACTCTAGATTTGAAAGCTTGACATTTACATCTATTTTATTTATTTATTTATTTTTAATTTTTTTTTAAAATATTTATTTATTTGAGAGAGAGAGAGAATGA